TTTTTTGGATGAAATTCGGCTCGACACATAACCTCGATCGGGTAAAGTCGGCCAATAAATTGACCTTCTACAGTTTGTCGGTTCAAAAGATAGAATGCCCTATTTACTATTTCTTATCCGTTGACTCGGGTCAACATCCCTAGTAAAAAAATAAGCAGTCTTTTCTCCACCAATGATTGTCTCGAGGTCATTGCGAGATTGGTTGTTGTTGAGGTAATTGCAATTCAATCTCAAGGTTGGTCGATAGCTTTGATGGGTAGCGATGTGATTGTCATTGGTGAAATTGGTTTTGGAAATACTCGAGCTTTTGTACTGCCTACTTTGGTTCATGCGGGTATCTCTATTTTTTTTTGTGAAAATTAATGTTTTTTTTATCTAAGTTCCATAGTTATTTTGTTTTTAATTCTTTTTGCTTAGTTAAGGAAGGGCACCACTTCACCTCTTTTTGATGTTTTTTTGCAGAATTTGTTGTCTAGCTCTTGGTAGGGATAATGCTTTATAAGAAATATATTTTAAAATGATTATTTTTTTAATAGACTATATGAACGTTGATTTCATATATTGTTTGCATTTCGATGCACGAGTTTCTGTAGATATTGTATATAGAAGAGGACAATTGCATGGGCTTATAAAAGAACATATAAATACCCAACCATATACAGTCAACTCTAAAATTATGCAGGAAAAATACATTCATATATATTCCTTTCCAATAATTCTACTGTTTATTTACATTATTTTTTCTTTCGTAATTATTTGCATCTCACGTGTCTCATTTCTTTTTAATTTGGTTAATTTTACTGGGTTAACTTTGTGGTATGCATCTCTTTGTCTTCCTATTGCCTCGTCCCCCCTTTGTTGTTGTTTAAAGCGAAAAGGTATGACTATGCTTGTCTGTTGACTTCTTCTTCGCATGACCATATGGAATTTAGAATAGATAATACAAAATAAAAGCCATTAAAACTCAAATAATTTGAACCTACTCAGTGAAAAAATTATTTGATCCAATGCAATTTATTTCCAATGCCAATCACATACCCTCGTATCTTTTGATCTTATATGTAAAATACTATATCATATATCTAAACTATCATGATGAAATAAAATCTTGAAATAATTTTAAAATTAACAAATTTAACTAGGATAAGCATGAAGCTGTATGAGAAAATATGGCCAATATCAAGAAGTATGTTGGATGAAAAGAGAGTGGGAGACTTTAATTTTGTATATATTCGCTTATACGTCAATGGGTTCCTTAGTTTAGTTTTTTAAAATGAGGTTTCTCAAGTGAAAGATGTTTAACATGTGCGTAGGATGTTTTATGATATGGATTAATAGTTCAATAATCCATTAACAGTGTTTACATTATTGCTATATTCTGGATGACTACTCTTTTAGCGTCCTTGATAAATTTTTTTTGATTATGAACAAAAACCTTGGAAGGAAACTATCTATGTTCTTTTTGAAGGAGTTTTTTCTTTTTTATAATTTTATTGCAATTGTGCAATTGTTAATAGTTTTGCTCAAATTGTCTTTTTTTTTTCCACTCTTTAGTTGCTCTACTTTTATCACGAGGCTAAGAAACACCTTAATCATAAAATTCAATATGATATATCTCCATGTGCTCATAGTGTAAAGGACATCAATGACTAATATGCTAGCATTAGGAAACAGAGGGAAAAAAAAGAAAAGAAAGAACAACAATTATATTTGTTTTGGTTTAACTATAATGTGGATGGCTTTATAGGAGTATACTGTAATGCTAATGACTACAAACCCACGATAACTATAAGAGGTCACAATCCTTTGTTTTAACATGTAAATAATTTAGAATCATGCAATTGTTTTTGCAATCACACCGTTTAATTTATAATAATAACTAATTCAATTTTGATTAGTTGACAACACTAAAAACTAGCCTTTAAAGCTTAGGTTGCTTGAAAAAGGCTCACACATCTAGGAAGCATTCACTTGGAAAGTGTACAATGAACTTTTTTATTGGTTTCAGAAAAATAGTTGGAGAATATTTGAAAAACAATAAAAAAACTAATAAAGAAATAATAATAAAAATTTTGTAATGTGGGCATTGGTGAGAATAGTTCTTCAAAATAGCTCACGTGCAAAGCACACGTGCATAAACTAGTAGAACTTAAAAGGAGTACATAGAAAATTTAGAATCGGGAGGGAGTTTTGTTAAATATAGGTCTATTTATATGAAATATCGTTGAAGTTATATCTATTTATAAGGGATGTAGATAAAATTTACTCCATAAAATATTTCAGAGTATTTTTATAAATTATCAATTGTCGTTAACGCCATAACCATTTTCTCACTATATATACCATACCCTTTATTGTTGTTGAAGGTAAAAAATGATCTGGTGTTGCTGGAAGACATAGAAAATTGAAGCCAACCATTCTTTTTCAACTCGTTCTCCACAATGATCGATCACTACCTATGTTGGTAAAAAAAATATTTTTTCTTGTAAATTTGTAAATATTTTTCATGTAGATTTTTTAAAATTTTTCATGAATTTTTTTATGCAGATATTTTAAATTTTTTCATGCAATTTTTTTAAAATTTTTTTCATGTAGCTTTTTTTATTTTTTTTCATGTAGGTTTTTTTATGCAGATATTTTTAATTTTTTTCATGTAGATTTTTAAATTTTTTTCAAGCAAATTTTTTTTTAATTTTGTTCATGGACATTTCAAAAAAAAAATTCTTCTATTTTATTATCTCAATATGTTGTGATGTGTTATAATATGATTGATGTCTTCTTCGACCGTTGGTGGAGGCAAAGACATAGGAGAGTGCATTGCAATTTAAATTGATGACATTAATTTAATAAAATTAAATATTAAATTGAAGACATTAATTTGATAAAATTAAATATTAAATTGTTGAACCTAAAGGTTAATATAATAGAACTAAAATAGAGTGAATTGAAATTTTAAAATCGGAAGGGAGTATTTTTAGATATAGGTCTATTTATAGAGACCGTCGTTGAAGTTATGTTTATTTACAAGAGTTATAGATAAAATTTATCATATAAAATATTTAAGAATATTTTCTGTAAATTGTTGCCATAACTCAACAAACATTGACAGAGGGTGAAATTGAAGTTTCAGAATTGGGAGAGAAAATTATTAAATTTAGACCTAATTATAGGGGATGTAAATAAATTTTTTCCTTAGATTAATAGGTTCAACAAAAATTATTAAAAATTTAATAATTTTAATTTTTTTTGGGAAGAGGGATAAAGATTTGAACCTTGAACTTCAAGAAAATAAAATTTTCACAAATTAAAAAATATTATTAAACTAAACACCCATTAATTAATAATTTTAATTGTGCGGCAGCAAATAGTGTAAAAAAGATGACACACAAAGTTGGTGTTTCACATCAAGGACAATGTTAGGGGAAAAACATGAAACGACCGGAGAAGTTTAAGTCAATGGTTATGATTTTAGTAATTATTATAAAACGACAACCCATCATTATCTGTCAATTGGAGAAATTGGTGGAAATTTCCAACAATGTTTACTTCGTTAGCTTGGCTCCACCTACCATCTGACATATGATCATACCGTCATGGCTGATGTATTTTACACTGACCTCACACACGAGACCGGAGTCAGGAAAAAGTATTGAGATAAACGTATTAGCTCGTTTTAATCTTTTTTTTTTCCAATTAAACAAAGAAGTTTATAAATTTATATTTTAAAATATTAAAAATTTATTAAACATAAAAATTTAATAATCAATATATATATATAATATGGACAAATAAAAAATAATTAAATTTTTAATTAAAAATAAGATTAATTATTGTCATTTACAATTCATCACGATGTATATCATTTAAAAGAGTTACAAATAAATCTTATTAATAAATATTTTTTGTAATATAAAAAACATGGTAATAATTTTTCACTTCAGAATGACATTAATTTTTATACAATAAAAAATAATTTTATAATTTAAAAAAACAATTATAAAATAACCCCAATATATCGAAAACTAATTCGGACATGTCTGAAATATATTTAAAAATTAAAAATATTCTAAGATGTTTAGCAAAGAAGTCACAATTATTCAAAGATGTTTGAAACCTGAATGAACAATCGTGTTAGAAACGTCAAAAAACAATTTCATTATATATAATCTTAGCTAGATTATAATTACTATTACTACATTACTTATATGTTTGGTTTGCTAAAGTGTAAATCAGCCGGCCATCCTAACAAAATTAGGGTTGTTTAAAATTCCGTTTACCCGACCTGTTTCGCATCCATCCTATTCTACTCTACCCAATTATTAGAATTTCCCAAAATTTCGGCCGACCAATGAAAGAAATTTTAGTATATTGTAAAACTGTAGGTAGGAATATGAAATACCCATAAAAATTTTGCATTCTTACCTAACTAGCACATATATTTAATTTTTTTTTAAATAAATATATTTGGCATAAAACGATGTCGTTTTATATGCTCATATTATTGAATTTGTTGTATTTTTTTTAGTATTACTGATTTATTGTGTTGGTTTACATGTTCTTATATTATATTTTAATAGCCTAATTATAAAAATAGCTCAAAAACTTGGTAATTGAGTTGTTAATAAGACCCAAAAATTAATAACTTAAAAACTGAAAAAATGTGAAATATTTCGCATTTCTACCCGACTTTTAATCTAAGGTAGATTTATTCGGCTCGACACGTAACCTCGATCGGGTAAAGTCGGCCAATAAATTGACCTTCTGTAGTTTGTCGGTTCAAAAGATAGAATGCCCTATTTACTATTTCTTATCCGTTGACTCGGGTCAACATCCCTAGTAAAAAAATAAGCAGTCTTTATTGACTTCTTGCGGCGCGCTGTTGTCACACGGCTAACTTTATGCTGACATATCATACGTTACGTGTAGATACGAAATCAAACAAGCTTAATTTCTAGGAAGCTGCATCTCAATAATAGTACGAAGATATTTCTTGAGGTTTGCTTAGGTATTAAGAATATAAAAAGAGATCAAAGTACTTTCATCTCCCATCTATAAAAATACCCTTCAACGCTTCTACAAACTTATTATTTCCATAGCCTTCCGATTTCTCCAAGAACGATCCGTCGTCTTATAGTAAGTTTCTTTACAGTTTTATAATCATTGTCATTAGTTTTATTTCATTGTTCTTGTGTGTCATCAAATCTGACAGATTTGTAATTTTATTCTTAAGCCTACTGATTAAAGCATATGGATCCATCGTCTTTATTTTTAATTGTTACTGCTAAAATTACGATAATGATTATTAACAACGTAGTTTAAAACATTAAAATTTCGTCATTATGAAGTCTACAGAGAAGAAGATGTTATAAGCTTTACCCTTTTTTTGAGGAAAAACTATTCCATGTCTTGAACCCCGTGATGCCCTTTACGCCAAGGCCATACCCCTCTCTCTCCCTAGCAGTGACTAGATAACCACTCATAACTATTTTGATTATTTCTATTATTATGATCATCGTCATCATGATGCCTTTTGGATGCAATTGGGTGCATATGGAAATTAGTGTAAAATACACTCTCTTCAAATTATGTATTTATTGTTTATTTAGTCTTCAATCTTTCAATTGTGTTTATTTATCTTAGACCTTAAAGTTCCTAATTTATATCTATGTAGTCTTATTTCAAACGTCTATCATCAATCATGTGATTCCAAATTTTGTGTCTATTTGGTCCTAAAGTTTTTAATTTGTTTTTTTGGTTCCTAAAATTCATATTTTGTGTCTATTTAGTCTTATGTGATTGACGCAGGCGTCAACGAGTTTTTTATGGATGTTTTAGATTGGATCATATAAATATAAATTTAAAATCTTAAGGACCAAATAGACACTACACGCATATTTTAGAGACTAAAAATGTATCTTATCCATGAAATTATATCTTTCTCGGTTTTTTTGACTAAGATCAAGGGTAGAAATTATATCCCAATTTATTTAATTAATTAACCAAGAGTGATTACTTCATGGCTTTCAATGGAATGTTGGAGGCAAGTCTAACTATGATCTTTGTCTTTGATATGTTTTTGGGCTAGTTTCAATGGAACAGTACTCTCTGGTTGCTTCCTCAACATTTGTTCTCAAGGTAAATATCAGCTGCCGTGGATGTGAGACACACATCGAAAAAGTGCTGCAAAAAATTCCCGGAGTATGCCCTGATTCAACGGTGATAGATGCAGAGAAAGGAAGAGTTACTGTTTCAGGCTTTGTAGACCCTCAAACCGTAATAAGGGAGCTTAGCAATGCTGGGAAAATAGCAGAGCTCTTGCAGATTGTTTCACAGTCAGAAGTGCATGTCAAAATTCCATGGGGCCAAGTTGTTTTCGTTGACCCAGTTCGCTTGTTGGCAAATAATCTGGGGCAGATCCTGAATAATATTGAACGCTTGAAGGAAGTGGAGGTGACCCGTGACAGTGTGAAGATGTCTTTCTACGATGAGTCAAGTGGTGGAAACAGGAAAGATGGTGGTAGATCTCGTGGCAGTGGTGGTGGTTGAAGATGGTAATGGGTGCTACTGGGTGCATGACAATCTTAAGTATTATTTTATGCTCATGTGAGGTGTTTTCATTTGTTTTGCTTGGTTTGTCCTCCAGAATCTTGGTTCTATTATTGATGTACTTGTTATTTGGTTATTAATTAATGCCTGATTATTGTTCCCTCTGTCCTTATCCTTTGTCCACATCTGCCGTAGCCATAGCTCTATCATTTGTTTTGCTTGGTTTTTGTGAGTTTATGGATGTTTAGACTTGTTATTTGGTTATCGTTACCGTTATTAATTAATGCCTGAGCATTCCTCCCTATCTCCTTATCCTTTCTCTACTTCTTCTGTAGCCATAGCTCTATACTGGTAACTTGCTGCTTATAAACCAGCATCTTAGTGGCAAGTCATTCCATACTGCACTAACCCAAGGACACAATAGAAACAAGGATTGCCTGGTAGTTGGAGAAACTATAGTTGAAGTCATATTTGAAAAGTACTTACTATTTCTTTAATTATAATTTGTTTGATAGCTCAATTGGAGAACATATATATATATATATATATATATATATATATATATATATATATATATATATATATATATATATATTTTTTATTTAAGAATCCACTTAGCAATCAAGGAAATTAAAAATCAATGAGAAATGGAATTTGTTGGACAAGGAAACTACGACCAAGGTTTGCATCCTGGTGTGGCAGTGACATTTCAGAAACAATGGGGGTGTCCCTGCAATTAGGCCAACCTCATGGGGGTGTCAATGAAATTTAAAAAACAATGGGCTAAGATGGAGGTTTTCTCCAAACCCAGCCCTCCTCAAATCTTAATTTCTCAACCCAATCCGTTTTAAACTTATTTCTCAAACTCAATTTATTTTCAAAAACGTCATTTGAAATGATGCATTCAGATGTAAAAACGTCATTTAGAATGACGATTTGAAATTATTATTATTATTTTTTTTTGAAAACGTCATTAAAAATAATCTTTTTAAAGTCATCATTTATAATGACGTTTTTAACATAAATATTTAAACGGCAGCTAACGGGCGTTAAATAACTAAATGGGTAAAAAACGTCATTTACAATAACGATTTTAATGTTCTATCTGCTCTCTTAAAAATTTCCAAATCACAGCCTAAGTTAGAAATTTTCAAAAATTTTCACCTCTTTTCCTCCACAAACATCGAGATTCAGCCTCTTTTCCATGAGCTCCAACCAGTCAACGACTGTTATCTCCGACGAACTCCAACCATTGTTCATCCATTGAGTTAGCGACTTGATCAAGATCCAGCATCTTCATCCACTGAGATCCAACCTTTTCATCCAGCGAGTCAACGATTTTGCCCTAAATCAATCCAGAACACCGGATATGTTATTATCAAACTTGAATAACTCAATTTTGACATGATAAATTCATTTAACTTTAGAGGAAAATGTTTGATTTAACTGTGGTTGTTTCCAATTCAGAGAAAAAAAAAATCTAGTGGTATTGTTTGTCATTGTAGAATTAAAGGGGCAATGTCTTGGCTTTTCTCTCACAGCTTTATCCATTTCTAATCCATATACTTGTTCTATCCCCTCTCTAGGCCATCTGAATGTGGATCTGGACTTGGGCTAGTATTTCCGAGCACCATCAAGTACATAGACTCAGATGTTACTATATTTTCTTTTTATTCTTCTCTAATAATCTGACCATAGAAAAGGAAGAGAGAAGAGAATCCCATGAAAAATATGGTGAGAAATCCCAGAGGTCCTAAATTGAATCATTGTAAGCCATCCTCCATTTTTGTACTGTCACATTTCAATTGTCATCACCAATGTATGCGTCTAAGGGAATTTAAGAAGTCAAATGCACTCAGTTGCAATTTGCTCTAAATTCAGTTTGAATCTCAATTTAATTTGAATCTTTCAACTCGTGTATTGATTATGTTAACATTATTAAACTCTGATTGGAGTTGAGTCTGAAATTTGAGATGAAACTTGAGTTCAATGGATGAAAATAGAGATTAGAATGGGATTAAATTCGGGTTCAATGTGGGTTCCTCGTAACCTGGGCTTGGATTTGGGAAATCTCCATCCTGGCTTCCTTTACCACGGGAAAGGGAAGTAACATAAAAACCAGTGTAGTTATGTGAAATCAGGCATAAATTAGTTAGAACTTCAATTGGCGTGTAACCGGGTTAAACTTCCCAGCCCTTTTGTGCGCCAATTGCTTAGGAAAAAGACATTTCACTCGTAGATTCTGAAGGTTGCTTTTCAATTTGAGATCTCGAAGTAAGGCATCTACAATTTTCCTAGTTTCTGTCGGATTTGAACACCTCAGGATTTAAGTTGTCGGTTTGTTTTGCGTTTAAATGATCATCATTGTGCATTTACTCGTGATTTTGGTGTAGCTAATTGTTCTATTTGATGATATTTCTGGCTCTTTAGTCATTGAGCTTTCAAAATTTAACCATATTCCTCGTCTCATTGGTGTGTGTTAATTTTTCACAGTGGTATACACTGAAATGGATCTGAATTCAGTCAAATTGACTATGTTCAAGTCCAACTTAGCTTTTGGAAATGGAATGGCAGCTGCAGCTCGTGATTATCAAAAGGTGTGTTCTTTATTTGCATATTCACAGTTGCACCCAAGTAGTTTGGGGGGGGGGGGGGGGGAGAGAGAGAGAGCACCTGGATGGGGAGTTTGCTTGTCGTTGATGTTAACTGATTGAACAATTCCACCATAGTGCTTCTGAGGGATTCTATGTTGGACAACTGCAAATTATTGATAACTTCTGCACTAATGTTTGATACAGGTTCTAACTTGAAATGCCCTTGCATCTCCACTAGATTCTTGCATTTATTTAAGTGTAACCACTGTTCAGAGGCCAAAGATGATGCATATTCTATTTTTTTCCAATGATGGGCAATCGCTCGTAAATAAGTTGTATTTTATATGGGGTAACCCTGTGAGTCTTTGCAGCTTTGAACATGAATCTACATGGAGTGCGTCGAGACTATTAAGACTTCTGACACAATCTGGTAGGCTATGGATTGGATTTTCGCTAAGATGTAGCACCTTCAACAAGGGTAGGCTCCGAATTAATGCAAATGAAGTTGGCATATTCCCCCACCAGGGCTGGCCCAACTATAGAAGCAAAAAAGCTTGGGCTTTAGGCCCATAATTTTTGATAAATAGTTGGCCACTTTAGAATTTTAAGTCCATGAACATTATAAGTTCTACAAAAAATTCTTAATCAAAAAATTTAATTTTAATAATTTTTTGAACTCATGATTTATCCCATAATAATAAAAACCTAAAAAATCAAAATTTTATTAAAAAAACTGATGGTATACTCAAAAGTCAAGTCATAATTCACCTATCCATTATTAACCACATCTCTCTCTCCCTCTCTCTTTATAAAGCCCCTCCCTCTCATTTTTATTCTCACTCTTCATATCAATTTCAAATAAAGAATTTTTTTTGATTGTTTATTTAATTTAAAAAATAAAATTATTAAATGCTGATAGTTTAAAAAAATTTATCTTGATTTTGGATGTTTCTTAATACATAACAATTTTTTTGACATTGATAGTTTAGATTTATTTTAAAAATAAATATTTTAAAACAGATTTTATAAATGAAAGAAAATACTCTAATTGAAACACCAATTTATATGAAAATATTAGATTTTTTCCTTCAAATGTATGCATTTCTTATAGAATATTATTATTAATTTTTGTAATAATTACTTCTACAAAAAGAAGCTTTTCAAAATTGAAATCAATAAAATTTTATTTAAAATTGACTATCAGAAAAAAATAATAATTAGATTAGCGATATTATCAATGAAAAAAAAATATGATAACAAAATTTAAATATAAAAACTCAATTTATACTTTTACAACTCAAAAAATGAAAAGAATTAATTTTAATCAAAATTTTTAACACTAAAAATAATAAGGTCTCAAAATAAATTACCGAGGCCTTAAATTACCTTGAGTTGTCCCTGCTTGTTCTGTCTCAATTTCGTAGTCTCTCTTGCTTTACCTGTACTACGGAGAGCTCCACTACATACGAGCTTCGTTACTGATAGAAAGAAGGAATTTCTCATTGTATTCCATGCCTAAGGTTTTGAATATGCCTGGAAGACAAGACAATTCGAGGCGAGAGAGAAGATGAAAGTGGTAGAATATTCTAAAGGGTATTTTTGTTATACAAATTTTCAAAAACAATAACTTTGGACCACACACTTGATATTTTAAACAAGTGTGCCTTTAAGGGGTAAATATTAAATGCAACTTGGTAGCACCAACTAATAGTAAAACATTAAGTGAATAAAGTGAACTTTATTTGAGTAATAATTTGATTACATATAAGAAGAGTAGATAATTATTAATTTTAGCAACAATGAGATACTGACCAAGATTTAATGCATAAATATATTCTAAAATAAACAGAATATTAAAATTCTCCTATAAAACTAGTAGTAATAAATATTTAATGCATAAATATAATTTAAAAATAAAACCACTTTCCAAAAAAAAAATTACGCATGAATCATGGTGCATTAAAAATAAGAGATTTTAAATTAAATGACCCAAAATTTCAGGGTTTAATAAAAGACTTGTTAAAATTTTTAAGAAAGAAAAATTTTACAAAATGGGTATTTACGTATTTGTATATCAACTATGTACTTTTTTCTAAAATATTTTGTTTTATGTACTTTTTTTACAATTATATACTTAATTTAGTGTACCGGCTTCCAAAGAACTCAATGTTTGACAATGTAGCAAACTTCAAGTTTTGAAGTTATGTTGCCTTTTGTGTTTTATATGTCAATAAGTGATTTTGGATTTGGAGGACTAATGAAAAAATTTGTATGGCTTATTGGGGTCAAAGATTTTATCATTTTTGTTCTCCTTGGATTTTTCTCTAGGAGGATTGAATTTTTTGCTGGAACTTCCGTGAATCATTGGTGGAAATCAGATTGTGAACTTTAAAATCTCATTGTGAAGACTTTTTTTCTATGCAAATTTCTAGGGTAAGATGAAGTGTGAACAAGACAAAATCCCATGGCGTTCCATGGGATTTTGTAATATTTACTGACTGAAAAGTAACACGCATGGATCGAATACTCTTCTTGGTTTGTGACGCCCCAAAAACCGGGGTCTCGATGATCGCCCATCAATCTGCGAAATGCCTATGGATATCGTATAACTCGATACCACACCGTTGTGTCCCATTTATTAGGATTCATAATTTAACAAAATCGGACAGAGTCTCCTTTGTACAGGGAAACTCTACCCAAAACACAACCTGT